ATTTACAATTTTATCGTCATCAATGTAAATCTTGACGCGTTATAATATCATATGCATCATATTCACCACCGGTCGAAGATGTCCTTGTTCGTAATCGATATTTTACTCGTTCTTCGAACGATCCGATCCTCCATTTCTCTCGGATCATTACACGCCTGAGATCGTTACACGCGTTTTTAGAGCTTACAAAAAAAGAAAGAAAGAAAGAAATAAAGATAAGCGTGCCGCGTATAAAAACTCTCGTGGACAATTTGCTTCGCGTACGAACGGGACGGACGCTTTTGCGACGATGTTTAAAATGGAGCTCGCTTCGACTAATATTGCAAAATATATTTTGCAAAATTTTTCTAAAACTGTTTCTCGTATCGATAAATAATTTTTCGACGTAAGGGGAACTTTTTAACGTATAACATTTTTTATATAGTTCTAATATGAATTCGTAGCCTGCCTGTATAATAATCGATATCTTTTCTATCGATGAATCCTTGCAAGAATCGGATCGTTCGAAACGTGTCCGCACGCGCGCGCGCGCACGCGTGCCCTCTTCGTTTCTCGTTACCAGGTGTTCACCATTGATCCGCGAACGAAAGATTGTTTTTTATGATTCCTCGTTGAAACGACTGCGATAATTTCATAGTATTATATACAAGAAGAAAAGAAAAGAAAAGAAAGAAAGAAAGAAAGAAAGAAAGATAAAACGTGTAAACGAACGAAAAAAATACGAAACAACAAGAAACTTGGTATTTCTCTTCCGCGAGGAGGTTTTTTTTATTCGACGATAGGAAGAAAAAAAAGAAAGAAAGAAAGAAAGAAACGAAATTAAAATTTCAATACAATATTTATTTTTCCTCGCGTGGATTTTTAATCCGATTTATGCATGTTTCTCCTACTTTGAAATTTTAAATTATCAAGTATTAAGTAATAGAATACATATAAATTAAAGTGTGTGACGCGTATGATAATTCAGTAATTCCTCGCGGCGGAAAAGATACCACGATTTCTCAGAATTGGCTCAATTATTTAAGATAGCGAAACCCATTATAGGAAATGGAAATATACGAATAGAAAGCAAACCGGTGGCTGACGCCATGTCAGAAATGTCTTGTTCGTGTCTTGGAAAAAAAAAAGAAAAAAAAAAGAAGAAGAAGAAAAAAAAAGATAATAATGAATAATGCTCCTTGTATACGCATGTTATGGTTAATCTGCGCACGTTCTATCACAACGTGATTGTTTCATCTTGCCTCCATAGAAGTTATCGTAAACACGCGCTATTCACCGGTACGCATACCGATCACGAGTACGATGAAATCGAAATATTTCCTTCTCTCTCTCTCTCTCTCTCTCTCTCTCTCTCTCTCTCTCTCTTTTTTGATTTTTTTCAATCCCGAAGTGTCAATATGTCTTCGGTCGTGTTGCATTTATCACCTTAATCAATTTCAATTTCGCGCTCATCATCGCGTTCATTCTATCTAACTATCTATATATTTACTATTGATACTATTTTTACGTAATATTTTTTTTAATCAAGACGATAAGTTATCAAATGAATTTCTGCTCAAAACAAGTTCTCTACTCTCGACAACAACTTTGTTGCCTTTTTTTTTTTTTTTTTTTTCACATTTCTCGATTCACAATTTCGCCGGACTCGTGGTCGCGAGCGCACATACGAAAAAAAAAAAGAAAAAAAAAAAAAAATAATCAACACGAGAACTATACACACAGACCTTGGGCCTACTAGCCTAAGGATACTTGTCCATACTATAAGACTTAACTAACGATGGGATACTTCATACGGTAAACAATGTATATTATTTGCGGTTAAGGAACTGGGGGTAACGGTTCCTGTATTCCCCGGACATCATCGTACACTTGTCTCTGTGTTCAATTGGACGGTCGATGAGGTCGCAACCGCGAAAAAGAGATAGAGAAAAAAGATAGAAAAAAAAAATAAATAAATAAATAAATAAATAAAACAAGAAGAACGAAGAAGAAAAATAGAAAAGAACCTCGCTAAATTATGTTAAGTGAATATTTCATTATCATTTTTTGGTCTACGCGTGTATTTCGTATTATTATATGAATACCGAATGGGGGAAATATCTTTTCGATTCTTCCTTCGCGTATGTAAACTCACTATAATTTCGGACGTTTACGCGCGAAATGTTATACTTTTGAAGTTACCGTTTTTAGTATAGTGCAATAACGAAGAGAAAGAGCGTAACGTGTTAGCATTTAAACCGATTTTACGTTAATTCCTTTTCTCTCTTTCTTTTCTTATTATTTCTCTTCCCCTTCCCTTTTCTCCTAGGCATATCTCCTAATCTCGATTAATTTCGCACTCTTATGTTCCTATGTATCCTCTCTCGTTCGACAATCAATTCTGTTTTCCTTTTTTTTTCTTTTTTAATTTTCTCATTTTTAGCCCGTAAATATTATCTACTTCCCGCGGAGAATTCTTTTCTTGTCGCCTCCTATTTATTGTTAGCGTGTACATACGAATGGTAGCGTCGAGTCGAATGTTAAAGAACGACGAGGAGAGAAAGAACGTTGCGTCAAGAGAAAAAGCGCCGAGTTGGACTGTCTATTATATTGCATTATATATAAGTATATATAAATATAAATATAAATATAAATATAAATAATATAAATATAAATATAAATATGTATATTGTATAAAATGAAATGTGCACCGATGTCTGGGAGTACAGCAGCTGCTTACGGGAGAGCTATGCGTTGGATCAGCAAGACTTAGGGCATTATACTACCCGCGAGTATTATCATGCCCAACCTTTAATATTTAAGTGCGAGTGAGAGTCTATTGAGCAAAAGTAAAAGAAAAAAAAAAAGATGAAATTTAAAAATATAAAAAATACATATGCCTCTCGTTTGTGGGTTTAACTTTGTACATATTGTACGAAAAGGTTTAATAATAACTACGTTGAAAGTACTAGTCCTGTCTCTTTGTATAATTCCGTGTTATACCTGTTCTTATATAGTGTCAAGCGGCGCCACAGTGTTCCTAATTGCGCGATTGTTGTAAAATTGAGCTTCTGCGCATGAAATCATGCAACGTATACATATATACAGATATACATATATATATATATATATATATATA